AAACCATCTTCTGATCAACAACCATAGATGTTATCTAAATAGATTACTTGGGGATAGATAACTTCAACTTAATCACCCCGGTTTCAAATTCCAAAAATTACTTTCCGTTTAAGATGTTCCGTTTTAATACTAATTTAAATTACACCCCCTTTCTTTTTTTGGTCAAACCAATACCTTTCATTAATTTAAAATCGCACTAGCTTCGGTTCGAGTCACCAATGTTTCTTTCTTGGTTTTACACTCCTTTCTAACTTGCCAAAACTTGGCACTAGGGACCGATACTGCTACTAACAATGACACTAAACCNATAGGAACAAAAGGCCTTACACAACTNANCATGCTTATGGATTTAAAATCCCCTAAGGATACACCATNGGCTAAGCCCTCTATACTATCCTCAAAAACTAGGCCCAATAAGCCACCTAAAGAAGAGAAGCTTACNGATTGGAATAGCGGAGGAGACTTCCGGGTAAGACCGCCGGCGAGCTTTTGAGCCACCACCGGAGANGAGATGCACGGCGGATTTATGCTCGGACTTGGCTTTCTTGTGGGATCTCCGTCTTGGTCGTCGTGCCCGAGTGCGGCTAGGGCTGATGCAGGGGACCACCGCCATCGTGAGTGTGCCGGGTTTACATCCGACTTAGCCCTAGACGAATTGGTTGAGAGAGAGGAGTCGTTGGGGTGGTTGTTCTGTGGCTCGGTGAGGGGAGATGGGGTTCGATGAGCCTTGAAAGGGGNATCTGGTGGACATGGTGGAGGATCTGGTGGTGNAGGTTCACGCGGCTCCGAGTGCCACGGATCTGGTGGTTTTGGGAGAGGAGCGCTAGCGGTTGGCCTCCTCGTCACCANTCCGANAAAAGAGTCGATGGCTTTACACGAGAGGTGGTTCACCGGAGAAGCAGTTCCAGGCGACGGAGAGAGAGAGACATAAGCGAAATGGATCTCCTTCTTCACCCTCGAGNTGTGTCTCCGAACGATTGTCGGTGATGTATCGAGTGTGAGAAGCATGTCTTCTTAGATGAAGAGATCGCCGGAGGAGGAGGAGACTTGGGGAAGCATGGAGATCGGTGGTGGTCGGCGTCTCTGCTAAAAGTCGCCCTTTATTTCGCCTACTTTCCGCTCTTCCGCCTTTTGTTGTTTTTATTAATCTCTCTCTCAAGCATTCCTTTTATTACACCCCCTTTCTTCTTCCGTAATTCTCGAAAAAAAAAACCACGTTATAGTTCAAGTGCAGAATTAATTATTCACTACACATCTCGAGCTTTAATATATTTTCCTTCTTCTAACAAGCTCTCCCTCTATACATTGTCTTCCCTTTCAAATCTCATCAAAATTTGTACTATCAACCGAGAAATTAAAACATGTCAAACAAAACTTTAATTCAATTCAAATACATTTTTTGAAACCTGCACAAAGATAGTAATTCAAAAATTCCATATCAAGTTAACAACAACCACTACTTCACCACTAAACAAGCATATGTGAATGTATCACATCATATACATCTTCCACACTGTAATATCTTACTAATTTATACAATCCATTACCAAATCCGCGCAACGCGCGGAGAAACCCCTAGTATATATAATGGAGGCGTGGTTTTAGGTTAATAGAATTGAATTGGTTTAATCATTTAATTGACTTTATCATTTGATTGGGCTATGAGCTATTTGGTTTTTAAGATTTCGAATGGACTAAATAGAAGATTTAAAAATTGAGCCATAATTTTGCCGTGTCATAATATTAAGATGCCATGTCATATTTATTGGGTGAGAATGAATGTGGAGTTGACACATAAGCAAACTCCACAAAATCACTTCCCAAATAATATATGGGGGATAAGTTTTTTTTTGGGAAATCAATAATAATGTCCTAACCTTTTCATGTTTATGGGTTTGTAGGATCCATTTCGATGGTTGTTGCCACTGTTATCTTCTTAATTTGGGCATATGCACGATATAAGTTCTTGCAAGTGTATATGAATTCATTGCTACCCAAGCGAGTACTACTGTGTTTTTATGGCTATGTCGATGTATTTGATGGTGACTGTGTTGTTATCTTTGGTGTTTTACATTGGTCTAAACTTCATGTCTACTTCCACCTCAACATCTCTCAATACTTTGTTCCTTGAGCCATCGATCAAAATTTCACTTTTGTTGATAGTCATATAGTTTTAGATATTAGGGAATATTGGTGTCCGAAAAGCAGTTCTTCGAGTAATTGTGATCTCTATGCCATTGCAATTGCTCTAGCTTGAATTGGAATTTGATTGTGATATGAAGATATTATTTTGGCTATTTTTCTTGTTCAGATGAATACAACAGAGAAGTTGAGAATTTTGTTCCTCAAATGAAGGAAAGAGAAGACAAGCCCATAGATCCAATCTCTGGCATTGATATTACCAGAATGAACCATCTTTTGTTTAATTCAAGTCACACCAAGTGATGCTATGTCTTTGTTCCAATTCCGCTCGACTTAAGTAAGCCATTTTAATCAGTTGGTAGTAATGGATTGTGACACTAGTGACTGGGAACAGTTTCATGTTCATCAAATCCAAAATATAGCAGGACAGTTTAGTAATACAGATCGAAGGATTCTTTGGTTATATCATGAATG